AGGTCACGGTTCGATTCCCGGTCAGGGCACATTCCCCGGGTTGCGGGCTCCATCCCCAGTGTGGGGCGTGCAGGAGGCAGCCAGTCAATAATTCTCTTCGTTGTTGATGTTTCTGTCTCTTTCCCTCCCTCTCTGAAATCAATGAAAAATAGATTGAGAGAGAGATTACCTCCAAAGGGAGGGATGGGTTGTTGAACCTTACACCACTGACCACAGGAAAGAGAGATACGATGCTCAGAGGCCCTCTTTATGGAAGCAACATTCGTCACAGCCCAGGCCTCTGATGACAAACGACATTCCTTCAGGATGAGAAAACAGAAAGGTAGTTTGGGATGTCCAGGCAAGTACTGGAAAGACATTGGTGGCTTCTGTCCTAAGGAAACTTCTAAGTGGAGAGACTGACAATTATGCAGAGATGCTCTGTGAGTACACAGGTGGTGCACCCAGCCTCAGCCCGAGTGGGCGATGGGTGGCGTGGTCTGGGAAGGCTTCCCGGAGGAAGGGACCCTGTTGCAGATGAGGATTTGTTGCGTTTTGGGAGGCTGGTGTGGAGAGAGACGCGGCGGTAGACACGTTCCCTCGGAGCTGGTGCTCGAGGCTCTCCAGACGGTCCCTGAGGGTCTGCAGCGAGCGGCTGAGCTGCCCCACCAGGTGCCCGGGGTCCGGCGGGATGGGTTGTTGAACCTCACACCATTGACCACAGGAAAGAGAGATACGATGCTCAGAGGCCCTGGTATGAGAGGCAAGGTACTCACTCCAGTAGGGTGTACACAGGAGGCAGCTGATCCATGATTCTCTCTCATCATTGATGTTTCTCTCTCTCTCTCCCTCTCTCTTCCTCTCTGAAATCAGTAAAAATATTTTTTTTAATTAAAGAGAAAAGAAAGCTAGAAAAAGGATAGATTTCACTGGTGTAGTGAAAGTCCCTGACTAAAAATTTGGAGGAAATAGCCTCTGTACTGTTTTTAGTAGCTATTATATCAGAATGGATCTACACCAAAGCCTTCTTATTAGTCCTGCGTATCAGTGTATTTTCCAGTCCACGAATAAATGTGTATGATCTCTCCAAACACTACTTTTTAAAAAGATATAATATTGGCCCTAACCGGTTTGGCTTAGTGGATAGAGCATCGCCCTGCGGACTGAAAGGTCCCAGGTTCGATTCCGGTCAAGGGCATGTACCTAGGTTGCGGGCACATCCTCTGTAGGAGGTGTGCAGGAGGCAGCTGATTGATGTTTCTGACTCTCTATCCCTCTTCGTTCCTCTCTGTAAAAATCAATAAAATGTATTTTAAAAAAATAAAAAGATATATTTTTACTAGAGGCCTGGTGCACGAAATTCGTGCACTTGGGGGGGTCCCTCAGCCCAGCCTGTGTCCTCTCGCAGTCCAGGAGCCTTCGGGGGATGTCCGACTGCTGCGGAGGTGGGAGAGGCTTCCACCACCACTGCTGCACTTGTCAGCCGTGAGCTCAGCTTCTGGCTGAGCGGCACTCCCCCTGTGGGAGCACACTGACCATCAGGGGGCAGCTCCTGCGTTGAGTGTCTGCCCCCTGGTGGTCAGTGCGCGTCATAGCGACTGGTCGTTACACCATTTGGTCGATTTGCTTATTAGCCTTTTATTATATAGGGTTGGGAACTGGAGGAGGAGCATTAGGAGCTAAGTGTGGCCGTGGCCGTGGTGATTGCGATGGCCGGCTGGTTGGCGTGTGGCCTGGACGAGGACAGAGATGACCTGGTCGTACAGCAGCCATCAGGAAGAGGGAGTGCAGGGGAGCCCGGGTGCCTTCGTCACTTTGGGGCAAGAAGAGGAAGAGGAGAGGAAGGGAGAGGGAGAGAGATACATCTATGATGAGAGAGAATCATGGATCGGCTGCCTCCTGCACGCCCCCTACTGGGATCGAGCCCGCAACCCAGGCGTGTGCCCTGACTAGGAATTAAACCTGTGACCTCCTGGTTCATAGGTCGACACTCAACCCCTGAGTCACGCTGAGCCGGCCAGAGCCATGCTTGGTCACCGTGGGCTGTCACAGGCCCCCAGGCCCGCAGGTTTGCGTAACTTCTGCAATCTGTCAGGAGGAAGTGCGCACAGAGGAACCACGGGAGAAAATAGCAGATGTGTCAGGCGTGCCTAGCCCTTGGGCTCTGGAGGTTCCCTTTATGCTCGAGAAAGCGCCTGTGTCACAGCTGAGCAGTGTGTGCCCTGGGAATCGTGGTTTGAGAACACACACGCGATGACTGGCAGCAGCAGGGGCGGCACGCACTGTCCCCAGGTGCCCGTCCACCTCATCCTCACAAAATCCCACCCGGACTGTTACTCATCTCCTTTTCCAGCTGGTTTGGCTCCGTGGATAGAGCATCGACCTGCAGACTGAAGGGTCCTGGGTTCGATTCCCAGTCAAAGGGCAGGTGCCTCGGTTGCAGGCTTGATCCC